GAGGTTCACCCAACCTCCTATCGAATGGGTACCGGGGCTCTTTTTCCGGGTTAAAGGGTCAGAAACGTGAAGCTGACCACTCACCTCCAACTAGTGCCCAGGTCAAGAAGTGTGGATCTATTCATCCACTCCCCCATACAATTTCATGCAGTAGTGCTTAATTAGTTAAGCACAGGGACAACTTTACATTTTTTAACCCATATAGTTAGCGTACAGGAACAAATGTGTCATTTAATAACAGTGGTTTGTGTTACACTTCAGTGATGGTTCGTGGGGATTTTACTGAATCTATGTAGTAACGTCAAGAGCTCTCAGCATCAACATTCCACCGCAGTGTGAGGTTCTTTCGAAATCATTCCTACCGCTACTTGAGGCAATCTGAACTTGTGTTGCTAAGGAGAGCTCATCATTTCTCGTTACAGAAGAATCGACGTGATGTGATAACACACGTAACACAGTATAACATGAAAGATACTCAGCGGTTTTGTTATAAAGCTTCCTGCTACAAGAAAGTGTTGGTTAAAGTTAGTTGAATCTGCATAGCATTTAAAGGTAGCTTTAAATAATAATGACATCATCTCTTTAGATTTGGCTCCCTCGTGACCAAAATCCCGGAGGACAAATACCCTTTCTGCACCCTTCTTGTATATTCATTAGAAGGTAGTTCACACCAGGAGGAAATGCTCTACCACCACACGTTTTCTAGTCTCGGGATGAAATACAAACAAGTAGATTGTATATTTTGTAAAGTGCTCATTAGCTGCGACGTCACTGCAGTGCATTGTAAAGCGAGGTTGCTGCGTTATTACAACGTATCTTACTTCTCACATCAGCATACTTTTCAGTTTTATGAAAACAGTATTCTTCGTGGATGATAATTACTTCTCAGAGTTCCTTATAACGACTGAATTTTTTCAACCTGAATATACTCGTAGAATAGATTAGAACATCATAAAGTGCTCCACGACTATTTTAAAATGCATTATGTAAGAAGTGAAAGGAATAATATTACACTGATTGCAAAACTCGAACTTTATATATTCTAATAACCGCGGATAGAAGGTAATTTACTGTTTTAATTAAAATCGTGTAACTTGAGGGTTAAAAATAATGTCAGTCACTAACTTACCGATGTTGACAAGTTTAACACCGTCAGCTGCGATAGCTGTAAGGGCAGTAGCAACATTCTCTAGGTACTGATGCTGATTTGCAGGTCTTTGGATCCATGAAGGTCTCAAAGGTCTCTTCTGGAGAACTTCGACTAGGGCGCATAAACGTGTACCGTCACAGAAGTCTGCCACTAAATCACGAACCTCTGTCCCCACTGTACGCAGATGTTCGTTTACCCAATTACGAAATGTATTAGCTTGTATTTCCACCCACAAGTCTTCACGTCCTTTGATGGCCATTCCTCTGGCTGCATGTCCCTCTGGACTACGGGCAACCAGCCCGACTTGAGAGATTCGCAGTTGTTCAGATGCTGCCATGGTGGCTTTTGAAATGTATATCTTTCCGTCTTATGCAGGGATGTTATTCCATTCGTCACTTACATGAACGCAAACACCACGCACAACGCCCAGTTGCCAACTAGCTAAACACACCAATGCTAGCAGACAGTCTTGTACGTCTTGCACTTCTTCGTTTGTTACGTAAAGGGCGCGGCGGCGGAAAACACTTATATACTTCCCACGTTAACCTGTAGGTAGCAGCAGTTATCAGATCACGTAAACTCCGCAACGAGCGTGACAGCGACGAGAATTTGTGAGTATAAAAATTATATATAAGTATATTTATTTATACGTTACTGAAATTTAATTTTTCGCACACTAAGCCTATTTCGATTTTGCAAGCTGTAGTGTTTTTTTTTTATGGATCACAAATACGAGCATATGGAAATATGACTCCTTATTTCGGATATAATGAACGAGAAACTGAATGCGAAGAAGAAGAACCTTATTTATGTACACAGCACAGTTAAACCTTTAAAGCTACAGTTCAGGCGGTTAGACGCGGGTTTCCCACAGCGGCGGCCCGGGTTCAGGTCATGTGATTTTTGTAGTGGACAACGTGTTACTTGGGGGTTATCTCCGAGTACTTCGGTTTCCCCTCCCAATTCTAATTCCACCAACTATTCCATATTCGCTAATAATTCTATCATCGGCGGTATATAGTCTCGTTCCTGAGATTGTCTTTGAATAACAGACAATTTCCGTTATCTATATGCATCACTTGTTTTAACACAATAAAATTTCATTCTGCCCATAGAATATATTTGTGTGTTTCGTATGGTTCTCACAATAAACGGCGATTTTTTCCCTAAATATTAATCGTTGATATTTGTAACGAAGATGTAAACTGTTTTCTATTAGCTACGTACTGAATGTTATATATTATTTACGAGAAATTCAATCTTCAAAGGGTTAAACATAATTCGATTGTTAACCACTGTTCCAAATAAAAGAGGGATCTTGATTTACATATTCTATTACGGACTATCATCTCTTACAATATAACTGTGAAACCAAATTTCCATGATAATAGAGCCATTATATTCCAAATATTGAGCCGGCTATAATCAATGATGCGTTAAATAGATTAAAATATTTATGGAAATGAAAAATATAGTTTATGAACACAGATTATTTATATGAATTATTATTGGAATCCATTATAACAGTCAAGTGACTGCACGCTCTAAATTCGATTGTTGACAGGGGAGTTAGGAATTTTGTCTTCACCAATATGCCCAGAACGATTATTTGGATTACCCAGACTCTTACTCTATCGATATTTAGAATATTTCCTTCTGGGATGAAGAAGTCAAAGGTAAACAAAAGAACATGTGTGCTTTCATCTCCGTGCACTGCCTTCATAGCTTGGTGCTTCGCCATGTAACATCTACCACAATCACATGGGATATTGTACACACACTGCTTCGTCTGTTGGGCATATCTAACCCGCCAAGTTTTCATCAATGTCCCACGGATTGTATGTTTAGTTTTGAAGCTGTTCCTGACATTAAAACGGTTTCCACTGCGTCTGAATTTCTCGGACGTACACTTAACCTATGGGATGACGGTATCCTGGTATATTTTATCTAAAGAAGGATGATTACTTCTCGATAGCTTCATTACGGAGTCAACGGATTCTTTTTGGTATTTGGTAAGCACCGGATCATGCCTTATGTTTTTAATTTCGTTGTTGAAATCCTTCCGGTCCTGACATATGATCTTGACTCGACTGATCAAACTATGAACGACTCCCCTATTTACGTGACTTGGGATTTTGGAATTTAGATGCAGATAACAATGAGTATGAGTTGGTTTCCGGCACAATTTCATGGCCGATTTTGCGACCAAATCTTCCAAGAACGGAAGGGTATCATCAGCTTTAACTGCCCTTGTGAATTTCATTGTAGGTCTAGCACTGTTGAAATGGCGAAGAAATTGCTGGTCAATGTGGCCAAACCACGAAATTGTTGTCGACGTATCTGAGTCATTTAGCGGGTTTGTGGTCTGCTGTATCAAATGCTACTTCTTCAAAGTGTTCCATAAATATATTACTGATCACCTTAGAAATGCATTTTATGAAGAGCCTTCAACAACTAATTTATATTTGTGAAGAAACTACAAAAAGAAATACGTGGTTTTAGTCCGCAAGCGAATACCGACCGAGCGACCGCCGCTTGTCGGCGAAGTTAGTGCCAACTTTAGCTGATAGAGGGTGTCACGTGGTGAGGCCAACGAATCCCCACGGCCGTTAATTTCGGTTTTCTAGACCCGAGCCGCCATTCCCTTGAAATAGCTCCTCACTTATTCTCACGAAGCTGAGTGGACCCCGTTCCAAACCCACTACTTCTCAGAAAATCTGGTAGCACCGGGAATCGAACCCTGACCTCTGGATCTGTAGCCAGGAACTCTGACCACTAGACCACAGAGGCAGCCGTGAAGAAAGTACTCGTACTAATATTCTGTAATTCTGGCTTAGGTCTACTTGAGAGTAGGCTAGAATAGACCCCACCCCGGCTCTGCACAGGGCTGAAGACAGTATCCTTACTCTTCCGCTGCAAGTAAATTGCCGATCACATAATCGGGTTCCTTGATGGTTACCTGGATGCTTATCCCCGTCAAAAGGAAAACAATGTATTTAATGGAGGCCCCGGGGCTACAGCCCGTTTCGCTCCTCCTTAAATCTGGCCCTGCCAAGAAACATGGGGAACGACAGACGACGTCAGACTGTTAAGAGGCAGTATGCGAGCATTCGACAGTCTTAACGGGTTTCCAGTTACACATTGTTTATACATACTAATATGTAATGATAATCCAATAGGTAAAAGCATATGCATATTAAATAAACCAAATGAATGCATTTTCGGATATCATTATTTCGGAAAGTTCCGAGATAGATATAAGGCGTCTTAAATTACGTGTGGTGGTTTTAGAATGTCTGTAAAGAAAAGGGATGGCAACTCTTCTCATCAGTCCTCGTTTCAAGCCAGGATTTGTCCTGAAATACTGGCACCTCTTCGGTTATTCTTGTACTGGACAAGCATATACTGCACATGCGACCTTCTCGGATTTGAGATTCGCGTAAGATTCAGTGTAATGAGTACGGTTTTCTTGAATATGAAGCCTTGTACTTCGGTAGATACTCGTAGATGCCAACACTTCGGAGTAATCTACTAAGCTACGCGGCGTTACTCCCACTTACGTCTTCATTGTGCTTAATCAAGTATGTACATGGCAACATTACTTATCACACATAGATATAAAGCTAAAAATGTAAACATTATCCACTGTTGCAGCTATGACGAAGGCCAAAAGATCGAAACCTGCCGCGATATAAAAAGGATGCATACAATCAGCGTAATTTTATAAGTTTATACCGCCTCTGTGGTCTGGTGTTCAGCGTTCCCGGCTACAGATCCAGAGATCCGGGTTCGATTCCCAACACTACCAGATTTTTCTTTGAGAAGTAGTGGGTGTGGAACGGGGACCGCTCAGCCTCGTGATGGTAATTGAGGAGCTAGTTCATGGAAATAGTGGCTCCGGCCTAGAAAACCGAAATTAACGGCCTAGGGGATTCGTTCCGCTGACCACGCGACACTCTCTATCCGCAAAAGTTGGCACTAACTTCGCCGACAAGCGGCGGTCGCTCGGTCAGTATAGTTCGTTTGCGGACTAAAATCACAGAAGTGTGGGGCAGTTAAGAGTGAGAAATATAACATGATCAGTATAGTATTTCATATGCTGCCCATGCTTATACAGTCCGCTATAGGGCCTACACGTAAACAGAAGTTTGTATAGAAAGGGTAATTCTATACATCCACCCAAACTTATGTCATCGCTGCCGTATCAGTGTAATTAAATATTTTCTTTGAAGTTTGCCGCGTGGAAAGTAGACTAAAAATGGCGGAAGCCGCTACACTCTTGCAGATCATTCGTAGACATTAGGACGATTAGGACTATCGATCCGTTTAACACTACGAAACATAGTGCTGCACTCTGTGATCAGCGTTCGTAAATTGATCATATTTTTTTTTTTTGAGAAGTGGGTCGTGAATACAGGCATTGTGTGCTTTGGAGTTGTTTATAAACAAAGTTATGTTGATTGTAATGACGTAAAGTGTCACTCATTTGGTGGTGAGATATGGGAAACAATAAACTCTGCCGTTTATGTGCTCAGGAAAGAGATAGTTTCGTTAGAATTTACGAAGAAGAAGGGCAGAAATTGAACCTAGCGACAAAGATTATCCAATGCCTGCAGATCTGGGTAAGGTAGTAGCTAAAATCTAAACTTTGAAGTAAAAATTACCTTCAAGCCGGTTCGATGTATTAACCGGCAACATATTAGTCAATCACGTATTCGGTCAGAACCGGCATTCTGTGATTTGAATATTTTGAAAATATAACATCCATGTACTGGAAGTATAAAATGTATTGTGTATGTCATTCCAAACCATATAATTAATTTCAAATAAATCAGTAAATTTTCACTGTTAACAGTTGCTAAATTTGAAGGGAGTGTCTATTTTTCTCATCACTGGCCTCCGTCCGTTAATTATCAGATGACTAAAACTTGTCTCACTTGTCAAAATCTGAACTTCATTGATTCCTAGGCATTGTATGCCAGATACATAATTGGTTTTCTAAATTAGTGATGGAATATAAATTCTGTACTGATAAATGCAAAAATTTCCCTACTCTATTATAATATGTTGATAGTATCACAGTGTATTTATGTTAGAATGGAATAGTATAAATCATATCCAGGTAGAGTTAGTCTCTTGCATATATATATCTTAAAAATCGAAAAGAGGTTAATTTTGCTAATTTCTTAAATTCATTTACTGCAAATTAAATTTAGCCGATTGATATGAGTAAGTCTAATATTATTTCCGCACAGCATATCCTGCAAAACATCATATTACTCACCTATTGATAACGGATGTCTTCCAGTTGTATCCAGAAGACCCACTGCCAAAGACTGTGTGTATTGATTGCTGTGCCAAATTGAACCAGTATTTTGACTTCTTCGAAACAAGTTCTCGTGCACAGTTATCACTCCAAATCTTATTCGACCCGAAGTTGGTGGCTTCCAGCAAGAAAGAGCTAAAGAAGGAGCCTGAGCTTGAACCAGAGCCTGAACATCAGCCTAAGCTTGAACCATATGAACTACCAAATTGTACACCCAAAGCAAAGGAGGAAGGAGAAGATGATGAAGATGAAGATGACGAGGATGATGATGATGATGACGATGATGATGATGACGATGACGATGATGTTAATGTCAATGACAGTGACCCACCTCCTGAATGTACTGTGGCAGATGAGGTATGCTAATCATTTCTAGAACTTAAATAGCCTCCTCCTATAGTACACACTTTCCCATTGCAAGCACTGATGGGTATGTTTACTTTACCCTATCCAAGGGTCTCCTATAAATCATGTGATTTTTTTACGCTAATAACAAAGATTCTGAATATATAATATACATACCCATAGGTATCTTGGTAATACATGAGTTTTATATTACATGTCTGTGCTGGTAATTGCTAATTTATATTTATTTTTTGATGATCACAAGTTGTTCAATTGTATTAATACAATTCTTTCAATTTACCTAATCCTTTCAGCTGCACTATGGCCCTGGGATTGACTCACCCTCTAACAGAAATGAGTGCCAGGAATCTTCCTGGAGGGTAAAGGGCTGTCAGTGCATAAGGCTGACAACCTTACTGCCAGCTGTGAGCCAATTGTCTAGAGAAAACGTGGGAGCCTCGACACCTCACAACCCTGTTGGCCTTCACGGCCTGTTACAGGGATAGCTTTCACTTTTTGCCTTTTAAATAATTGCACTACAGTGAACACAATCTCTGTTAATGATTTGGACCAATTCTCGGTGAGGTCGTATGTTGTACACTCACACAGAATTCAGGAAGATCTGAACCTTCACCTAGTTACATGTTTATTTTATTTTGTTTACCAAAAATTAAACAAACTTGACTATTAATTGCTTCTTTTTTTTTTTTTTATTCTATGTTTATTGATAGAATGTTTACAGTGACCACTCTGTCTGGTTGAATGGTTAATTATTCATTATTCTTTTGCATGTTGCAGGGTGAATCAGCTGAAGGAGATGCCGAACCACCTGCATTTTTAGAGTGTGTATTATCTGACAAAGAAGCAAACGTTTCTCCTCAGAGTAAGTTATTTGGTTGTGTGACAAAACATTTGATTCATTGTGGCAAATAGGTTTCTTCCATGTTGCTTTAATTGCCTTTGTTTTGTTGTTGTATTATGAAACATGTTAATTCGTCAGTTTTGCCCCTTATTATTACACACATGTAGAAGCACCCATTCTTTGCCATGGATGTGGGTGATTTCCTTATTAACCCTTCAGCGTGGTTTGCTGTACACGGTATGCTGGTATTTAAATGGTCCTACATGCGGTTTGCCGTACACTGTACGCCAAGCTGTAAGCTTAATTTCGAAGGCCCATAAATATCGAATGAACCACACCAGCATGTTGACGATTGCACTGGGCTGTTATGAAAAGAATGCGCTCTCTGTTCGTGTATACATAACATTCAATTTCCTGCAGCTCTGCCAGTCAGTCTAAATAGAACGCTGACCTCACAGTTACAATGCCCGAGTGACTATGATATCAACATACCACAACAATGATATGCGTGTGGTTGTGAATAAAGCAAAGAAACAAGAAACAAAGCCCTTGGTTGTTTGTGATTATAACAGAAACATGCTAGGAATGGATCTGACGGATGAAATGCTACAGCCATACTTGCTTGAACGAAAGAGGAGTACTAGGTGGTATCAGAAGTTATTCAAGAGGCTACTCAGTATAGCAATACATAACGCAATGGTCGTATATCGGTGTCTCCCAAATAACAAAAACATGGGCACGCTAAATTTCAAACTTTCACTAGCACAAGGCCTCGTGGAAAATCACGGTTCTGGTTTTCCTCATCCTGTATACGGCCACCCGTCAGTTGAGCTGCCGCCTGAAAGACTCACAGAACAACATTTCCTGGAGCATATTCCAGCCAAAGGAAAAAAGCAAAGCCTCAAAAAAAGATGTGTGGTGTGCGCAAAACATGGTAAAAGGCAAGAGATTATTTTTGGTGTAGTGAATGTGAGGCAGGGTTGTGTTTAGATGGATGTTTCAAGAAATACCATACGAAACTCAATTTCTAATCCACTTGCTTCCATCGCTCAGATACAGGGTGCTCATATTATAAGGTAAGATTATAAAACCATCTTTTAAGATGATTTCAGTGAAAAATTCATAATTATACCTCATATAGTTCAAAAGTTATGATACATAATATAATTTAGAGCAAAATTTAAATGGGCAATTAAAAAATACTACCGCGGGAAGCCCCACAACAGCGATATTTAAATGCCTGCACTGAAGGGTTAATAAACCATATATACAGCTAAAAGCAGAAATAGCGCACAGAGTAACAAATTAAAATCCCTTGTAATTAAAAACAAGAATCTTAAGAATGTACTCAGTAATGTAGTACATGTAGCTCATCCTCTTTTCAGTTTATTAAAGTTAATTGTAGCTCATTTGTAAAAGACTTCTCAACAATACAATCAAAAGTGATGACGGTACATTAGTACAAATATTATATTTTGGACTTTATCCAGTGTCTTGTCTTTATCTAAAAGCACCGTCCTGTTTATTTTAAAACACAATGTTTCGGAGACTGGATTTTATCTCCAACCTACTCAGTTGGGCCCAATTGATAAAACTAGTCCCTATCTCTGGAAACCTGTGCCAGCCCCAGGATGGGTTGTACAAGCCAAACACAGCACAAACCATCTGTGAGAGCTAAGGAAACATTAAATTATTAGAGCTCCACACATATGAGGCCTTGCACCGAGAAATATCACGATAGAAATCATCACTGGAGAGAAGCAGTACTCCTTATGGTACCAATACAAGAAAAACAAAATTTCCCACTCAAACTACACTTGACGGAGTTGTAGTTTCTTGACTTCTGCTGTGATAACTGGGGTCCAAATGGAAGAGATGTCCAAACTGGGTTGACTGATCAGGTGGTCCAGCAGAGACATGTGGGCTGATTCCTTGTATTTACTGTATGTGGTGTTGGGCTCAAACTGCAGGACCTACGCTTCATTGTGTTATGTGTTGGTTCAGAAACATTTTCAATTTTTTTTGTTGTTTTTTTTTTCGATAGATAAGTCACAAGCCTTCAGGAATTGGATTTCTGCAATTTTGCAAAGATAGACCACTAAGTTCCAGCACATGTAGTTGCATGTTTAGAGCTGTGTATGAATGACTCTTGGCTTCTGTAGGCACATAACGCATTCAGTGCAAGGAATAATTATGATGATAAAATAATAGATCATTGAAGGTCGCAGTGTGGGGGCCGGTTATTATGGCCCACCCCTTACATACATTACATTACACGACAATAAAAAAGTCAGCTATACAACAATTAATTATCTGCATCAAGAATAATGTGTTGTATTTTGGGAGTGAAGTCAAGAAAATTATTACATTTCTGGGACACAAATGAGTTAAGTGTTTTTTTTGGTGCCTTTAATGACAACTGGCATAAACTTAACCATGCAGTGATAAATAAAGATTGATTTACTTTTTTTTTTTAATACATTTCTTTGATCCAACAGTTACCCCATAGGGCTGGATATAAAAATTGTCATATATCATGTCAAGAGACAGTCACATGCAATAAAATACAGATACACATTAAATGTAATATGTAAAATCTAAAGTACAAAGTAATAATAAATCAAGCCTCTTGGAAAACAATACAAGTTGCCATAAATAAAACATATAAAAATATAAAATAATAAATAAGGCCTTTTGCAAAAAAAAAAACAAGTTTTCAATCCAATTATGGGAAATT